AGGGGTGCTTCAGCGAGTTGAGCCCAACGTTGATCGTCATGGATAATGCTTCCTACCATAGTCGTCAAGGCGAACGTCTACCGACTATGGGATCTCGAAAAAGTGACATGCAGCAATGGTTGCGCGAAAAAGGAATCCCGTTTGACGATTCATGTGTGAAAGCGGAATTGTATGAAAAAATTAAACAGCACAAACCTGCGAACATTAGTTACGTGACTGATGAGATGGCCCGTCAATGTGGTGTCACTGTGCTGCGGTTACCGCCCTACCACTGTGAACTGAACCCAGTAGAGCTCAGCTGGGCTCAAGTGAAGGGTTATATTGCGCGCCATAACACAACCTTCAAATTACCAGACGTTAAGGTTTTACTTGAGACTTCCATACAGCTAGTAACGCCCGAAGCTTGGCAGAATGCTATCCGTCATGTTGTGAAGGAAGAAACAAAAATGTGGCAGCTTGACCACCACATCGACACCATCATAGAGCCAGTTATAGTCAATTTCAATGAGGAAAGCGATAGCGTCAGTTTATTACTGTCAGATGTAAGTGGAAGCGACGATGAATAAAGGTAATTCCCAAATTTTTGACTTACAATATGTTTCAAACCACTCTTTATTAAGCATGTGACAAATCTAGTTCACCCATGTTAAACATTCATACCCCGCCTATGAACAGCCGACTACTGGTAGTTAAGTGATGTTCACGTGAACATCGATGAGTCATTACAGTTTTAGATAGTTATAGTAGAGTTTTGATGATTTTTGGACTTAAAAGGACATTATTTGTGAAACATTTTTCATAATTTTTTGTCTGTGTCCATAGTAATTGCATTATGCATCAGGGAGATGTAGGGATTCACACGTCTTACACATATTATCTGTGTTTTAGGATGGAGAGTACATAATGTTTTTATTACTTTGAAGAAATTCATTAACCCATAAATTAATAAATGATTACTATTATAACGTAAAGGAAGATGAGGAATTGGATGGAATATATTTTATATTCTATTTTCTTGCAAAATACAGACAAATCCACACTATTCAAGAGGTATGTAATGATAACTTTCAGTATATTGAAGCTGCTAAATTCGAGAGTGTCATGCATTAACAAACGTCCAAATCTGCTGCCAACTTTAACAGCTAGAAAATCGACCTATTATTTGCCGCATTCTCATTCGCTGAGGTTGTCCTGTTTTTTCTGTACAAAAGCATCATGTTGGAATCAAAAAGTGGTCTTGTTTATAATATAGTCGAATTTTCACGATTTTATTCAATATTTCAATAGAAACCACTAATATTCAGAGACCTTTGACAGCTTCCGTCAAATTTCATTTCGATAAGGTATTTTCCCGTTGGTTCATAATATTAATGTTGGTAAATCGGCACTAAGTGCTTTATATCGACCACACTCACCACAATCTTACTAATTTTTATAATCTAATCTAAAAGGTTCTTAAATTGGGTAATTAACAAATAAATGGCATTAAGTTTTCAGCCAAAATTTGTAGTCAGTAAGTAAGCAAGTTTCATTAAACTAAATATTTAAAACACACATGACAACAGCGCGTCGGTCGTCATCACTCTTATCGAACCGGCAATCGATCGCAAACGGTAACAGTGGTTAGTTATCGTTTTGCATAGATAAATTACTTTATCGTTTTGTCGAGCAGATCATCGGGCATTTAAATAATGACTATCATAACGCTTACACCCTGTATACCAACCTAAAAATAAATACATTGATTTGATAGTCAACTGAGTGAACTAGTGAAAAAAGAAAAAAATATTCATAGCATATCGCTATGTTGGTTCACCAAAAAGGAACTAGATGAGAAATAATAATGAATGGATGAAAATATAAAAAAACACAAAGAAAAGATCATAACTAATCACAACAGCTGATTTTTGAACCATTGAGTTATCCACTTGAACTTTGTGTCAACGTGCTTTATTAGCGGCTGCCACTAAACAAATGTTTACTTAAGATAAAAAAAAAACCATTATCAAGTACCTAAGCGGTATAAAAAGAAGATAAGTGCTAAATAACCTGCATAGCGGTGTGGGTTAGTTTTAACAATGACTTCCTAAAAATATTTGTCAAATATCTACGTTACGAACATTTGCGGAATTTTTCACATTCAGTGTTTCAGTTTTTCTATTCAACATTCATTATTTATGGGTTATAAATACAGCATCCGACGTGATTTTACATTGGGTTTAACAGCTCCACGAAACGGAAACGTCATTTTCACATAATTCATTCGAATGATGTATGAAAAGTGGTTGCAAATATGACATCACCGATAAGTAATCGAGCTTAAGAAATCGCATTTTATTTCCCACGCCAATTTCAAAGTTTTTACGTTAGTACGTTAGGGTGTCCAATCCTATGTGACCTGACTAATTTTTGTTCGATTTGAGATACACAATCCTCTAATTTTTTTCCATTTGACTCTCACAAAAAAGTAAATATTATTGCAATTGGGGAGCTATAACAGGTGCCAACTTCACTGGACAACAAATTTTAGTTTTTTAATTGTATCTTGTGGGAAAAGTGCACTTCTTTGTTAATTTTGGGGCGCTGAATCCAAAAATGACAATGAAATAAAAAAATTAGTTGCGGTTTAGAAAAAAAACTTTTTCTTTTTAAGGATATATTAAAAAAAGTAACAAGATTCATATACTATACTTATAAGAATCACTATATGCGCTGTCTTTTTGCTGTTCTTTTATGGATCGTTTCTGGAGCATCTCTACCAAGATTGCAACAGTAGTCTGCAAGCATGGAAGGATTCCACTTTTTTCTGGTACCTTTTTTCCATTGTTGAAATATCCTGATGAAAACGTTCGCCGTGCTCATCACTTACGGCTCCGCAATTGTCAGGAAAAAAGTCCAGGTGTGAGTGTAGGAAATGTATCTTAAGAGACATGTTACAGCCCATCTTGTGATACGATGACAGCATATTTTTGACAAGGGTTTTATAGTTGTCAGCTTTTCTATTTCCCAAGAAATTAGTGACCACCAGACGGAAATCATTCCAAGCAGTTTTTTCAATACCTGTTAAAGTGTTTTCAAACTGTGTATCTTTCAAAATATTTAGAATCTGTGGCCCAACAAAAATACCTTCTTTAACCTTTGCCTCACTTAGTCTTGGAAATTTCTCTAGCAGGCATTGAACAGCTGACCCATCTCTATCTAATGCCTTGACAAAGTTTTTCATTAGGCCCAACTTGATATGCAGTGGTGGTGATAAAATTTTTTTCGAATCTACTAATGGCATATGCTGTACATTTTTTTGACCTGGCTCTAGGAATTGACGAACAGGCCAGTTTTGTCTGGTGTAATGAAGTGCCTTTGCCCGACTGTCCCATTCACACAAAAAACAGCAAAACTTTGTGTAGCCTAGCTGCAGCCCAAGTAAAAGTGCAACAACTTTCAAATCGCCACAAATATGCCATTGGTGCTCATCGTATTTTATGCATGTCAATAGGTACTTCATATTGTCATATGATTCTTTCATGTGAACTGCATACCCTACAGGAAGAGGTGGTAAAATATTTCCAATATGCAATAACACTGCCTTTAAACTCAATGTTGAACTGTCTATAAACAATCTCCATTCTTCTGTGTTATAGTTTATATTTAAAGCCGCCAGTAAGCCGTTAATGTTACTGCAGAAAACCAAGTTATTCTCCATATTGAAAAATGGTTCTACGTCTTTGTGGCGTTGACGAAAAACACATACCGACCGAAACATCGTCTTCTAACAAGTTCCACTGCTGCAGTCTTGATCCAAGTAACTCTGCCTTACATTTTGGAAGTTCTAAATCTCTTACAAGATCATTTAATTCTGACTGTGTTATTTTGTGCGGTTGGTGGCATGACGTGCTCGGTATAAAATCAGGATCTCTTGACGTTGATGGCATATCTTCTTCCTGACGAATCACTCGATCTCCATGATCTGATTCGTTTTCTGGGGGTTTTGGAATAGGATTTTCGTCACTGTGAGGCACAGGTCTCATCGCAGATGGTATGTTTGGGTAGTTAATAACCGATTTTTTTTCTTGGACATACCTGTGGCTTGTCCAACACAAGGTACCATGCAAAAGTAACAATCATTAATATGATTTGTAGGCTCTCTCCAAACCATTGGGACAGTAAAGCGCATAGACCGTTTTTTTGCCATTTAACCAGCTCCTCAGACTTGAAGCACATGTATTACAGCAGATGTGGGGTGCCCACTGTTTGTCTTGATCATCTAGTTTACAACCGAAATAAAGCTGATATGCCTTTGTTATTAGTAGAGTAACAGACCGTCTCTGAGACGCAAAAGTCACATCACCACACACGTAACAAAACTGATCTGGATTGTTTACACACTTTCACGACATCTTGCATGAACGCTGTCGGCCAACTGAGGAAAAAATGGCTAATATAAAACAATATAATGTACACGTATGTATAACGAAACACAATCATGCCGATTACATCATCTTTCCTTGCCGAATATAAAAATGTAGCACGTGCATTCTTGTGAATTACAGTATATTAACACTGTCACAGCAGGAACACATATAATTACCGTATCTCTAAAACCTGAACTAATATTGAAAAAATAAGTTTCATTCCGGTTTTAGCACATTAAAAATAGTAATATTTTGTTGATTTTTATATATTTTTTGGCTGTTGATCAGTGAGAATCGGCTCACTATTTAACCTACTGAAATATGTGTATCAAATTTAAATCAGTCAGTTATATATTTGGCCACCCTGTATAATGAACATAACAGGGGTCCCAAGACAGATCCCTGTGGTATACCAGGACAATTTTTTTGCGCGGTAGAGCACTCTGTTGATTTAGAATGAGAGTTCAGTGATGCGAGTTTTGAACTGAATGATTTATAGAGAATAAACGTTCGAAAACTTAACAATAGGCTATAGGAGCAAGTGGAGATTCGGTGAATAATCGCTGAAGTCTAACTGTCTTGGTGTTGCAGGTGGCCCATAATGGGTGGTCATGTTTGGCGGTCGGAACAACAAGTGCCACACCACCACCGTCAGAACCATGCAACTGTTCCATGAGCTGAAGCAACGTTTCCCCACCATTCCCGACCACGTGGTCACCGCCTGCATCGCCTCCCACCTAGCCTCAGATCGCGTAGAAAGACACGCCCTTGAAGATCTTCTACTTAACGCCGCCCTTAAGTACACCGCCACCAAGCCGCCCTGCCGTAAGCCGATGGGACGCCCCTTTTCGCTGGCGGTACACAAGGACAACGCCAAACCACTGCTGCAGGTAATTCATGGTGATTAAGGTGTCTCATCAAACGCATACCCTCTAATTTTGCTTGGACGATGTCAAGTATTTGTAAATAAAGTTTTACGTAACAGGGCAACGCGTGTCGAGTTGCGATTTGACATGTAAAACTTGCATATTAGGCGCGCGCTTCAGATTCCGAGATAGATTTACAAGAAACTTTGCCCATCGCACACAGCCTGATGCCTATCAAACTCGAATGAGGAAAAGTTTCATAACTCCAACTTTAGCGGTAGCACGAGATAGGTATCAATTATGTATGAGAAATGTTGCTTTTATCGTTAAAGCAACCATTTTAGCACTTGGACATAACTTGAGATTCCTATAAGCAAGTCCTCCATTCAAAGAATTCGAACCGAAAAGCGAAAGGAGTACGCAGAGACTATAAAGCTTGATTTCCAAAGCGAGGTATACTTTATCTGAAGTCACTTGAAACACTGTGAAATACCGGGTGCGTTTTATATATCTATATTTAACACGCTCTGTTGCTGCAAAAATCGCCAAATTTCGCAGCAAATATCCCCCGTATAAGATCAAAGGCAGTTTCACCGGTCCACGTGGAGTAAAGCACGCCTATGCGTGGACATAGCCAATGAGAAAGCGTGTATTTCAGAGCTCCGAACAAGTGCAGGTGGCTACTGAAAATTGAAACAGTTTAGCCAGTGCCGTGTAGCGGTGAATAAACGTGTTTTCTTTAGTCTGTCCGTGTTTTTTCATAGATTTTATTAGTTTGTGTGTTTTTGACTTTTGAATACTCAGTTTACTTGTTGATTTAATTGTTGTGTTGATTGTTCTTGTGTGTCCTAAATATGGCTCTTTGGAGTCCTTGGGAAAATGCTCCAAGCCACGAGGAGATGGTTGATGAACCTGTGCAGGCAGAATTCTTTCATAAAGATTTAGAGGAACAGACCCAAAGAGTAATCCTAAATATGTATGATTGTCTGAAAAACGAAAATCCAGATTCCTCGCAAAATCAAATTTTAAACAGAATTTGTATCCTAACAAAAATCAGTCGGTCTACCATTTATCGGGTTATAAAAAGGGGAGATGTAGTCAACCATTCCTTCCACAGAAAGCGCATAGGGCAAAAATTGAAAAGAATAGACGTGGGTTTTAAGGAAGATATTCGTCGTATAATATACGGATTTTATAGAGAAAATTTGGTGCCCACGTTGGAAATGATACGGGATAAATTAAAAGATTATCCTGAAGATTTTTATAATTACAAATGCTTAGACTCACTGCACTGTATTGTAAAACTGTGTGGTTTTCAATACAAAAAATTAGATAAAAGAATGGTGGTTATGGAGTCGTCTCGAATCGTTGAATTGCGCCAAGAATTTTTGCACAAAGTTAAAATCTATAGAGAGCAGAAAAGAAATCTGATTTACCTGGATGACACGTGGTATGATACCCATGATGTTGTGCAGTACGGCTGGGTTGACGACAGCAACAAGTGCATTTTAAATGCACCATGCAACCGTGGAAAACGAATCATTATTCTCCACGCTGGCAGTGAAAATGGATTTCTACCTAATGCCTTGCTGTTATCTGCCAAAAATATCAAAGAATCATGTGCCGACTATCATGAGGACATGACCTCCGACTTATTTGAAAAGTGGATAGAGCAGCAGTTAATACCAAACATTTCCCCAAATTCAGTGATTATTATGGACAATGCGCCATACCATTCCCGACAGAAAAACAAAATTCCGAATACAGGCACAGAAAAACAAGACATTATTGATTTTATGAAGGATAAGGGAATTGAAATACCACAAAAATCAACCAAAGCCATATTATTGGATCTTATTAAAAGATAAAAATTTGAAAAAGAGTATGTTGTTGACAATCTGCTTCAGCAAAATGGCCATGAAGTATTACGTCTACCTCCCTATTACTGCATTTTTAACCCAATTGAGTTGGTCTGGGCTGCTTTAAAAAAAAAGTAAGAAAACATAATCAGACCCCTCAATTAAGTGAATCGCTATTGGCCACAATAAGAGATGCAGTATCTCATATTGCTGCCACAGACCTATGGAAGCAGTGTTCTAGGCATATTATTGAAAAAGAAAATGAATATTGTGTTTTGCCTCCTGTAAATCCCGTTGTAATTCCTCTACAAGATGACTCTAGCGACAGCTCCGAAGGCGAGGATGATATATAAATACCTATAATGTAAGTCTTTATATACCTTTTTATATACCTACCTGCTATGTAAATATTTGCCTATGTCAAACGTTGGAATTCTGTAATTTTTCCATTTCTTAACTTTCAGTCAACATAAATTAAAATCCCAATATAAGTATTTTTTATCCCAAATCAAAAAAATAAGAAGATAGTAAAATCCATTTATTGTGATATAAAAACATATTATTATCGTTCTAAATAAATGACCGCACGCCTATGATACGTCATGAAATTACAAAGGACGTGCCGACCAAAGGTTTTTATGCTATTTCAAGTGACTTCAGATAAAGTATACCTGACACTGTAACTGTCCACTGGGATGGCAAATTGTTGCCACCTTTAAATGCACGCAAGTCTAAAGAAGAACGTCTACCGATTGTTATAACATGTGAAAACAAAAAGCAACTTATCGCTGTGCCCAAATTAAATAACTCTTCAAAGAACGAGCAGGCTCCGTCATAGACTGGGACACCCTATAGTATAGGGGTACTTGATATGCTTAAGGTGTGTTATACAGGGTGTACGGAAAGTTGGGGTTTTCCTTTACACGACGTGTAAATCTTGAAAACATAAGCAATTTTTCTTAGTACCATATACACCAGTGTCTTAAGGGAACCGAGATAAAGGGCTCTGCAACATCAAAAATATCTGAATACCGTCCTGTAGCCGCGACATTACCGACTGGTACAAGGTCACTGGCTCAACCCGACGACAGAACTGGGTCGGGGTCAGTGTGTCAGGTCAGTATGCAACCTTCAACCGACGGTTACGGTCACGCGTGTAGAGGTAATCGCGTAGACGAGAATCCCTCAACAAGCTTTAGAGACGTGGCTAGAGAAGCGCAAGTATCAAAAACTAAAGTGTGGCAAACGCTGCGTGAAGAGGGGCTGTATCCGTTTCACGTCCAACGTGTACAAGCCCTTCAACCTGACGATTTTCCAGCAAGAGTGCGGTTTTGTGAGTGGTTGTTGCATCAACATGACAATAATCCGGACTTTTTGAAGTGCATATTGGTGACAGACGAATCTACGTTCACGCGTAATGGGGTGAATAACTTTCGCAACACTCATGTTTGGTCAGTAGAAAATCCGCACGCTGTCCGTCGGGCACATTTTCAACACTTTCGGTGAATGTTTCGGCTGGCATGGTGAACGGTATGCTCATTGGACCATTTATTCTCCCGAATCGATTGGACGGAATGCAATACCTAGACTTTTTACGCAACATTTTGCCTTCCTTGTTAGAAGATGTGTCATTAAGTGTAAGACAATCAATGTGGTTTCTGCACGATGGTGCACCGCCCCATTTTAGACGCGAAGTGCGTGAGTTTTTGGATGAATTATTTCCGAATAGGTGGATCGGACATACTGGACCCGTAGCGTGGCCTCCGCGATCTCCAGACTTAACACCATGTGATTTTTTTCTTTGGGGAGAAATGAAACGCTTAGTGTACAAAACTGAAGTGCATACGGTTGACGAACTTCGTCTCAGAATTGAACAAGCTGGTGCTTTCATTCGGAGGAGGGACTTCATTCTCAAAGCCTGCACCGATGCTTGGCTACGTCGTGCACGCACCTGTGTTTTTGAATCAAACGGCGATAACTTCGAACAATACCTATAAAGTACGTTTACCTAAAAACTGAAAACGCGGCAACGCCGTCATATTTGTTACTTCTGTTCGTGGTCTGCACCACCGCCGGCGTCTGCTCGGTAGCGCATCAGCTGATTTCATTTTCTGTTGGAGCTGTATGATTTCGGGCAGAGACGTACTTAGCCCTTCTCGTCAACTGGAGAGTGAGTACTTTATCCTTTATTTTTTTTACTTGGTTGCCCTCGTTTCACACACATTACCTTTGTTATTTCAAGGGTAGTTGTTTCTGAAAAGGAAAACCCTAACTTTGCGGACATCCTGTATAGTTACTGAATACCAATAATCAGGAAACTAGGCTAATTTTAATTACAAAGATCTCCTTGTCTGCAGGAATCGTCCTGTCCAGACTCGGAAAATACACTACATCACAACGAAGATAAAATTGATCCAGCAAAAAATTGGGAACCAGCAGCAGAATATTCTTTCGAACGAAGAACATCTGACGATATGAACGAGTGCTCCGATGCGAACCCACGAACAGGTAGAATATTTTACACGCTCATCTCTTCCGAACTAGCGTTAAATATTCATTCGATTTTCAGTTGAACAAGACGCGCCAACGAAGGATGAAAATCCAACATCACCAAAACCAGCGATTCGACCAAACCACCTGGACATCAAATCCGACACCTTGGCCAGCTTCAAGAACGCGGACGACGCCAAAAAGTTCACGATCCAGCCCTCCGAAAAATGCAAAGACGTTCACAAACTTCTAAACTCGACCGTATGTGATAAACCCCCGCGGTCACCGCTAAGCGCTAATAAACGATTCGCGGCTAAAAGTTCCCCGACTAAAAGTTCCCCGACTAAAAGTTCCCCGACTAAAAGTTTGGCGAGTGCGCGAGTGTTTCCTAATGATAGAGTGAGAGACGAAACGCAAACATCACAAGAAGTGAAAAGTTCCTCGACTGAAAGTTCCCTGGCTAAAAGTTCCGCGACTAAAAGTTCCCCGACTAAGAGTTTGGCGAGTGCGCGAGTGTTTCCCAATGATAGAGTGAGAGACGAAACGCAAACATCACACGAAGTGAAAAGTTCCTCGACTGAAAGTTCCCTGGCTAAAAGTTCCCCGACTAAAGGTTTGCCTAGTGCGCGAGTGAAAGATGAAACACATGCGGCACAAGTACCTAAAAGTTCCCCGACTGAAAGTGCCCCGGAGAAGCGCTTAGTGAATACGGATGATAAAAGTTCCTTGACTAATGCGCGAGTAATTTCTGATGAAGTGCAGGAAGGTTGTGCGAAAGCTAGGAGTTCCCCGGCAAAGAGTTCCCCGACTAAAGATATAGCGACTGAGGAGGATAGTGCGAAAAAGGAGGTGAGAAAAGAGACTTGTTCTACGCCAACGCAGACGACTGACACGTTGCTCGGTAGTCCGAACGTGAACGTTTCCCTAAATGTGAACTGCTCCTTGGATTTGGTACAGTCTCCGCAACATCAAGCAATACCAGGGTAAGCTCAAAACTGCTTTTCAATTTTTTTTTGCCTTGGTGAATGGAAAATGTCAGAGCCGTGTAAGGAGAATGATTGTAATGCTTTTATTTCATCTAGCACTAATTTCAATCGAATTCGGGTGGGGAAAGTTACTCGAAATGAAATGCACTTTACTTCACGAATCAGCGTCAGTGACGTCACTAGTGTTTACGAGGAGATATTTGAGGTTATCGTCGATGAACAATTTCGGTAAACAACAACATACTGGGTTGTCCAATAGGGACGCAGGAAAGTAAACGTCAATTTGACATAGACGCCATCTTTGTTTTCTGTCACCGACATGTCATTTTGTTAGTTGAATGTTTACCATCGATCGATATGGAGTCGTATTCGATCGAAGACCGCATTAAAGTTATTCAAGAGCACTACGAAAATGGTGCAAAAATAAAAAACACGTTTCGCGCGCATCGTGAACATTTCGGTCGCAACAACCGCCCAAACGAAACAACCGTCGGTCGTCTGGTGCGTAAATTCGAGGCAACAGGTTCGGTGGCAAATCTGCCAGGCTCTGGCCGGCCAAGGAGCGTTCGCACACCGGAAAATATTGCGGTTGTGAAGGAGAGTGTGAGAGACGATCCGAAACAATCAACAACGCGTCGATCCCAAGATTGGGCATTTCGAGAACCAGTTTGCTCCGCATTCTCCACAAGGATTTGAATGTACACGCCTCAAAGATCCAATTGACGCAAGAGCTGCGTCGGGCCGACCATTTTTCGCGCCGAACGTTCTCAGATTGTTTCAAAATGTAATTGAAAAATTCGACCATCGCGTGGACGTCTGTAAATCCAGTCGTGGTGAACATGTGAGCGATACTATTTTTCATACGTAAATGGTATAAATGAACCTTCAAAATAAAGTACCCAACTTGATTTGAATATCAATCTTTCTTGTTTTAATATGCGTTTAAGTAGCGATGGAAATCCAACAGTATCCTATATCAAAGTTTCTTCTTTTGATGTGGTCTCTCGAAATTACTAAAATATACAAGACATTTCATTTAAAAGTACGAGAGTTGTCCCAAAAATAGCGTTTCCACATTTTTCCAGTCGCAAGGAATTTTTCATTTGTAAAAACGAATTTACCATTGGAAACGTTGATCTTTAAGACATGAATATGGTAAAACAACTAAAAAAATATATAACATAATAATAGTAATAATAAGGCTTTTATTTAGCATAAGAGCTACATATAAGTACACGTTTGCCTTATCAAAATAATAGAAATAGAAAAAAAATGTGTTTTTATATGCAAAAATTAAATAAAAAGTGTAATACTTCACAAAACAAAAAAAATCGAAAGTAAACCTACAAACCCTAATTTAAAAATAATACTACGAATACAAATACGAGGGTACTGATAATATTAGATTAAAAACAAAGCAGAGATGAAGCGCAAATAACCGCGTATTCAACGCGTTGCTTCGGATTCGGTTTACTGCATCAATGACTAAATGAAGTGATTCATGCAATCTAACACTCAAATTTTTAGCAACTAAATGTTGTCGATGGTGAACACGTTGAGCACGATTTCTTTCGCGTCCCTCTTCAGTGCTTTACGAAGCCGTCTACTTGTTCCCTGGCTTTCAGTACTTCCACTCGTGCCATTTGTACTCTCCATGGTTAAGTATAACCAAAACAGTAACCACAGAAACCACAACAATAACAATCGCACAACAATTCTTATAAAAACACACAATATGCGATCGCTCGACGAAACACGTTCCAATGCGTTGCCGACGCCTATGAGTCTGCCGGTCGAGGCGCGTCTTTGATTTCATTGGTTCTACCGGCGGAGAACGATCAGCCATTATTTCCATCTCTGTCTGTGCTGTTGACCACCGCAAAGCCACAGAAACGACATATGTCGTACGCTATACGGCTGTACTGGAAGGAAGCCGGGATCGAGCTCTGATCACGTGTTGATCTCGCGTATGAGTCATTACAGTTTTAAATAGTTGTAGTATATAAACATTTTTCTTTGCAGCAGCAGCGGCGATCGTCGCACCTCGCTCGTCCAATTCACCCCGTCCCAACCGTGGTTGCAACAAGGGTTGCAACCGCCTTCCGCGGCCACGACCCCTCGCAGTTACACCAGCGTCAACTTCACCCTGCGTACCCCAACGTCCGCCCCCCAAGACCCGATAGACATAACCTCCCAGAACTCCAGCTTGACGTACTCCACGTCGAGTTTCGACTCGCAGAAGGGACTGCAGAGCAGGTTGCAGATCACCGTGGGGCCTGCGGGAGGTGGAAGTGTCTCCTCGGTGAGGGTGAGACCGAGGAGTTTTCATTTGCCGGAGGGAGAGAGAAGGGAGGTCGCGCCTGCCAGAGCGGAGTCCCTAGGCGATCTGGCGGTCAACGTTGAAAGTAAGTTTTTTGCTCAGTTTCAGGGTTGTTTCGTTTTAAACGTCTTGTTTTAAACATGATTTAAAGATTCGCGTAGGTTTAAAACAGTTTTTGTTTAAAACACTTAAATTAAACAAGCGTTTTTTCTTCATTTTCTTTATTAATATAATACATAAAAATAGGAAATGTTCTCAAATATACTAAGTGACATATAAATCCGAACACCCAGTTTAAATGGTTTTATTTTAATAAAATTTTGTATAAGTACTTAATGAAGCATAATAAGTAAATGATAAAAATTTTGTCAGTGGATTCTTGATAGAACTGATAATAATAGGCAGTTTTTAAGTAACGTTTTATGGACCGATGAGTCATGCTTCACTAGACGTGAAGTGGTAAATTTTCATAATCAACATATTTGGTCGCATGAAAATTCGCATGCAGTTCGGGAAAGAAATGTTCAGCATGAATTTAGTGTGAACGTGTGGATTGGTATCTACCGTAATCGACTATTTGGACCCTACCTTTTGCCTGCAAGGTTAAATGCTGCGACCTTCTTGGAATTTTTAAAGGCTGAACATGCAAATATGTGGGATGATGTTATGTTAGATTTAAGAAGATTGGCCTGGTTCCAGCTTGATGGTTGTCCAGCTCATTATTCGAGAATAGTTAGAAACTGGCTGGACGAACAGTATCCAGAAAGATGGATCGGCCGTGGAGGACCAGTCGCCTGGCCTCCACGATCCCCTGACCTAAATCCATTAGATTTCTTTGTGTGGGGATTTCTAAAAGAAAAAGTATACCAGACTCCCGTAACCACAAGATATATGCTAATAGACAGAATCAAGAATGCATGTGATGAAATAAGGCCTTATTTGAATAATGCTATACCACGTTCGATCATTCGTAGATGTGAATTGTGTATTGAACATTTTAGTTGTAAATAATTAATTTAATTTGTTAAAAATAATATTGGAAAATTAAACAAATTAATATTCTGTTTTTTTGTGTTTATTTGGAGTTAGGAATTATTGCTGTGTTTAAAAACACAATCTAAACGATCATCTTAATTACTTGTAATGCCCAAATCGAAAATGTAAAAAAAAATGTTCCCATAAATAATTAAAAATGCATCGAACCTTAAAAATCGAAATATCTCAAAAACGGCTAACTATAACGAAAATTCACAAGAGAGCTTTTTATGTTGAAAAGTGCGAAGAATCAGTTTTTTTATTCAAAAAGCAAAAAATTGCACTAAGAAATAATTTTCGGTCATTTTAATACACTACAGGTACAGTAGAGAGCGCCCTCTAGCGGCTACAGTAAAACTATGCCCATGGTTCGTTTTGTCGTACCAAAAAACCTTTGTATACCAATTTTCAGTGTTATACATCAAATATTGTTCGAAATATTTAAAAAAAACTATTTTAAAAAGTAGTAGACTTTATGCATTCATTTTAAAAGTTCTATCGAATCTTAAAGTTATGCAACAACAAACTGAAACACCCTGTATATCGTCTTGACGTTATCCTTGAAAAGTAGACTTCCAATTCTATCTGTGGCTCTGGGAATATATAGCGGAAATGGCCACTAAAGTATATTCAGATAAGAGATAGACCGGATGTAAACAAAAGGTTCGGGTGATTTTCACGCTAACGCCGCCGTCTCGACGTAAAACAGGAGCCCTCATTGGTCAATTCGCAATTAAATGCCTATGCCGAGCGGCAGAGCAGTCGTAGCAAGGCAGAGTCACATTCAGGTTCAGACGTGTTACGTATGTCGTGTGCATTGATATTTCTTTGGACGTTTTCGTTTGTTATCTTATTAAGTTGTTGAGTCTGTCGTTGTTATTATTATACCTTGTTATTGATTGTTATTGTTATCAACTGCTTGCGCAAAATGCCCAGTAGTACAGATACTGCCGATGTAGTTGTAAACTCCTGTAGTCCACCTAGGAAATGCTCTAAAAAAAGACACCTGAGTGCAGAAATGAAAGAGGTCATTTTGAATATATATGTATAAGATCGAGCGCGAGGAGAACGAGGCATCAACCATCAAAGAAATTGTTGTGAAGGTTTCTCACAAAGTTGGGGTGTGTCGCGCATCAGTGTTTAATGTGTTAAGACAATACAAAAAAAATCACACCTTTTCTGAGCCAATGACCAGTAAACATCGCAAAAGTATTGTTAAATCATTGGATGAAGCTGATAAGCATGCGATTAGGAGGAAAGTGCATGAATTCTTCTTTAGGAATGAAATACCTACTATAGATAAAGTACTGCAGGAGGTAAATGGAGATACAACGTTGCCAAATTTCAAACGATCAACTTTCCATGCGTTACTGAAGCATTTAAATTTCAAATGGAAAAAACGGGGTCGTAATAGTTTACTACTGGATAGAGAAGAAATTGTGCTATGGAGGAGGGATTATTTAACAAAAATTGGGAAATATAGAAATCAAAACAGGAAGATTTCTTACCTTGATGAAACGTGGGTAAACGCAGGACACACTACAAGTAAAGTATGGGTTGATGATTCTGTAACTTCATCCAGGAGGGCATTTCTAGATGGAATGTCCACCGGATTAAAAAATCCAGCAGGTAAATAGGAGTAATAGACAACAATCGGATATTTTTCAAACCTTGGGAACAAGGTTCTAAACATTAATTCCAGGGGGCAGATAAAACATATTACAAGTAACAAAACTTTTATAACTTTCGATAAAATGCGTGGATGTTTTAATGTCATTTTCATTTGTTAGAACTTTTTTAAGCCATGTTTTTATGTGTTTTCGATATTTCAATAATTTTTTAATATAATCTTAAAATATGTCGAATATTATAAACTTAAAAAAAGTTACTAAGTTTTATATTGTGTACCGTACCTAATATTTCTAATCATTTTAATTCATACTTTAAGCTTTATAAAGTTATAATTTGTTAATATTAATATTTGCGCGTATTTCAGGTTCCTGATCATTCATTTTTTAAAGGTTTATAACTTTAAATTAAATTGTGTAGCGCTGAGTAATCATACGACGTTCAATATTCTTTCTTTCAATATGACTAAATAATCCCAATTATAGCAATCTGATACTCATGTCTCAATGTTTTTTCGCTGAATGTGATGAAAACATTTGAAAAAGGTTCGCTTATTGGAATAAATCTACACCAGTTAGTACTTCGATTTCCAGGTAAAGGGAAAAGGCTCATTATCTGCCATATTGACAGTGAGGATGGATTTGTTGTTGACGGTCTGTGGTTCTTTGAGTCTAAGAAAACTGGAGATTACCACGAGGAAATGAATGGCGAATCGTTTGAACAGTGGTTTTCAAAAATTTTACCGAACTTAGAGGAAAACGCAGTAATTGTGTTGGATAATGCGCCTTATCATTCTCGAAGAATGGAGAAGGTCCCAACAACGGCTTCAAGGAAAGTTGATGTTCAAAATTGGCTCCGCTCGAAAAATATCAACTTTGAAGAAGCAATGCTGAAAGTACAATTATTAAGAATTGTCAAGGATCACAAGGCGGAATATCAAAAATACGCCATTGACGAAATGGCAGCAAGTCAAAATAAAACTGTGCTCCGTTTACCTCCATACCATTGCGAGCTCAATCCCATTGAGCTCATATGGGCAGAGGTTAAAAATTATATAGCTAAGCACAATACAACTTTTAAATTTTGTGACCTCAAAGGACTTTTCAAAGAAGCACTAGAATTAATAACAGCGCAAAAATGGGAAAACTGTATTAAGCACGTGAAAGACAAAGTTGAAAAGAGAATGTGGGAACTGGACAATATTTTAGAGGAACAAGTCGAGCCATTCATTATTGACGTTGGTGCTTCAGGCAGTAGCGATGATGAAAGCTCATCAACCTCATCTTTCCAATAAAAGATGTCGTTCATCAAATTCGGTAAGTTATAAGTAATTATAAAGCTACTGTATTTTTTAATTAATTATTGACATTTTTGAACCCATTTTGGCAAAACCTATTCAAGAATCTACTTTCTGACAATGTTCAACCATGCACATTTTTTTACGTTTTGAACGTTTTAATTTGGTTACATATTTACCTAGAAATCAAAAAATATACTAATCAATATTCTAAAAGCAATTTTAAGAGATATACGATTATTTTTAATTTAGCCTAATTTAAACGCCATTTTGAGATTATATTCGACTGTATTTCACCAAACATCAGGCGGCATCCGAAGCTGGATATCGAAGCGAAAATTTTGAAACCCTTATGTATATTTACATCATTATATATTTCTTACCCCACCCCCACATGATCCTAAATCCATCACCAATCGTATACACATCGAATTGTGCTAATTTACTACAAAGTTACGCAAAGCAGCATCTACTATCTAAAATATGTACTGCGTGACTCTTAATACGTCCCTGCCGAGTGTTACAGCGTTCGATGATCACGTGGTCTTGTGTATGTCCGGTCTATCTCTTATCTGAATATACTGTAGTTGGTTGTTTTCTTGACTTGATGTCATGGATTTTCTAATTTCCATCTCTGAGTATCCATTAGCCATCATGCTATTTTTTTAAATCCAGTTCTTCAGTTTCATAGATTCTCGTCGCTCTGCTGTGGCTGTATCTCATTTTTGGAATTTTCCGCGAGATTCCAATACTTCCCCGCCGACGGGCGCGGGAAGTAAAAGAAGGTCGCGACGTTCAGGCCACCCTGTATCTTCGCACAGTATTATATTTTATGAGCGTGAATAACTGAATCTCGACAGAGAAATACATAGCGCAAACTCCGCCTTGAGATGTCCAAATTGAATTTGTGTCCAAAATTTATAAATCGTAAATTTTGCTACCTTTAACTGTGTTCTGAATATACCTATTACGCTACAAATATGCGATAAAGTAATATGATTCAGTGGCGTGGTTTGTGCCAATAAGAATCAAGATCAAGAGTCAGGCTCATAGCCAGAGCTTTAGATACTAAAATTATGTTTTTATTAGGTAAAATTTTAGATTGACTATACGAACCGTATTTT